ACCTGGTGGATGTCGCCGACAGGTACATTTTGTTATTTTATTTAATTTTAGCAGTGAACAAAGGTTCAACAGGTTAGTGACCAAAGTCTTATTCAAAACAAGTGCTGATTGCTGTTTTTAGTGTGCCTTAAGCAACATGAGAATAGTTTTGGAATCACATTGATATCAGTTTTGGTTTGAAAGATTCAAAATTCTTTTGTTGGTCTTTTTTATGCTCCTTATAAAAATGAAATAATGTTTCACACATCCACCAATCAGTAATTCAGTGCAAAGCAACTAGTCAAACAATATAAATAATAAGTTAATAAATAGGTTAAAATTATGCTAAAACAGAATAAAATAAATAGTTTTAATTTAAAATGTTATATATTTACTTTTCCTTGGATCCAGATCAGACTTTGGTGTGTGGTGGATCTTGATATATTTGTCCAAGCATTATGGATTATGTATGGAGTTAGAAGCCAAATATTGAAATTGCACCTATCTCACAGTGCTGATGAATCCTTTGAAAAAATCTTCAATCCACATAATTCGGGTCAGCACCATAATCTAAGGCCCTATTTTCTGATACATTTTATCAGCATGCTGTGAACAAACAAACAAACCAACAAATGCCAGTAAAAACATAACCTCGGCTTTGGCAGAGGTTGTGACAAATAACATCACTCTTTAGTGCAAAATGAATTTATTGCTGTTAGATGCTAAACTACATTTCATTATTTGTACATGGGTAATGACAATAAAGTTGAGTCTAGTTTAATCTAATCTCATCTAATCTCATCTCATCTCATCTCATCTCATCTTTTATGTTTTCATGCAGATATGAGAACGCCTTCCTGGTCAGTTTGATGGGTTTAAGACCAGAGAAGTATTTCTGGACTGGTTTTTCTAACACAGAAAACAAAACCACATTCAAGTGGTCCACCAATAGAAAGGTCACATTCACTAATTTCAATGTGGGCATGCCAGGTACAGCACACCTTCTTTAGCTGTACAGTACATCTAATGATTTTTACATTAGCTACTGCAGAGTCTGAAGCACTGGTAGTTTATTTTTTTAAAGCCACACTGGCTGCATGGCTCTTTGGATGGTAATCTTGGTCTGTTTTTAGTCCAAACTGCAACAGCTATGGTTTACCATGCAAATATATCCTGATGACTTTGAAGATTTCCTCAAGTAATAACACATTTTGTATGTGTAGCTCTAAGTGAAGGATTGCCATGCAATGTAGCACACACATTCATATCCCCCTCAGGCTGAATTGTAAGACCTTTTTATTTTTTATTTATGGGGATGAACACTTTGTCTAATTTGTTATCATCATACACATTGTAAAACTAAACACATTCCCATTAATTCTAGTCAAACCTCTTATTGTTGCTTTTAGTATGCTAACATGGTAGACTACGATGGTGATGTGGTAAAAATGCCTGTTATACATTAGCATGTTAGCATTGGCATCGTGAGTAGGCTGGCATTTAGCTACCTGGTCTTAGAGTCTCTATTGTAGCGCTAGACTGTTTGTCATTTATTACTGTATATCTTTTTTTTCCTGACACTGATATTCATTATTTTTTTTGACACATGCATGTTTTACCACTGATTATAATTTCTGTATTTCTGACCTCATCTTATCAATAGTCCCAATTTTCCCATTTCTTTTGGTGTTTCCTAAAAGACAGAAAACAAGGATGTGTTGCCATGACAACTGGGATTTTTGCTGGATTATGGGATGTCATCAGCTGTAGCAACAAGGAAAAGTATATCTGCAAGAAACTAGCAGAAGGTGCAGCCACAACGACAGCCCCACCCACCACCCTGGCTCTGAGCTGTGCATCTGGGTGGACCCCAGCTGCCCAGAGGAACATCTGCTACAAAGTAGGAGGACAAACTGAACTAATCTGTGAAATCTGTGCAGTTTTAAGTACATAAAACCTGACTTTCCTTTTTCACTTATTACAAAGCTTTACAAGAAAAATGCAGACCTTAAGAAGACTTGGCTTGAAGCACAAACCTTCTGCAGGGCCATCGGTGGGGACCTGATGAGCATACACAGTATGCAGGACCTAAACAATGCTCCGTATGTTGCCATATCATCTTGGACATATATATCTATGTTTTATGCTAATCAACCATTAAAGTAATCAATACTGTTGTTTTCTGCTGTCATAAAGGTTTTATTCTTCTGATTCAGCTTGGATTGGCTTTTCCCTGGGTACAAATCAAGGTTTTGTCTGGAGTGATGGATCACCTGTATGTAGTACTTCATAGTTATCACGAAACGTTTTACTCGATGTCTTTCTCGGCCTAATTATGTGTATGTCAAATAACTGTGATCCAGAGTGATTTTGAGAACTGGGGCTTTGGGGAACCAAATAACTACAATGACAATGAACACTGTACAGAAGTTAACTTTAACTACCGACGGCGCTGGAACGACCGGTACTGCGATGCTTACAATAACTGGATCTGCCAGATAAGCAAAGGTAAAGCTGACTCGTCTCATTAATAGTGATTTGTGATGGTACGTTAGAGCTCTGCCCTACTGTTTATTCTTCCTTCATGGTTTTTGTATTTTCAGGTGTGACTCCCAAACCTGAACCTGCAATAACTACTATAGGTATGTTTCAGCAGTGGTCTGAACCCAAATACTGGTAATCCTGTTTTTTTTCTCTTTCTTTGCCAGGTGGCAGGTGGGGCTAATTTACAGGCCATATTTCATAGGCCATATATTGGTTAATGAATCTGTTTTGTTCCCGTTACAGTATACAACACCACAGAAGACGGCTGGCTCATATACAATGACTCACATTATTTCATCAACACTGAGAACATACCTATGGAAGCTGCCAGGGCCTACTGCAAAAAAAACTTTGCAGAACTTGTAGTCATCACAGGGGACAGTGAGCGAAGATTCCTCTGGAAACAGGCAAGATATTCAGCGTATATTATTTTTAAAAATAGGGTTCAAATGTGTTGGAAAAGGAATTGTGTTGTATCATCTGCTGCAGTAACAATAGTTTTTTATTTTCAACATTAATGTAATATTTTTCTTACCATTATGTTCCAACAGATAGCAAAGGGCACAGAAAGTCAGTACTACATTGGCATGGTGGTGAATTTGGATAAGTCATTTAGGTACATCCACCTACACTGTTGAGCCCCAACACTTGGAATACTGTCTGCTGTTCACCATACATCAAATCTAGTCTGGCATTTGATATAAAACTGAAATAAGTTAGTGAAGCTTTGTTTATTTTCTTTACCATTTTAGCTGGTTGGATGGCAGCCCAGTAACTTACACTGCATGGGAACAAAATGAGCCCAACTTTGCTAACAATGATGAAAATTGTGTGACTATATACAAGAGCATGGGTGAGTTGAATGCATCCACACAGCAGGTTGGTTTTGTAAACATTAGCTATTAATTTTATCTTGTTCATTGTTCTTTCTAAACTCTGCACATTCAGGATACTGGAATGATATTAATTGTGGTATTGAGCTTCCCTCTATTTGCAAAAGAAGCAGTAATTTTATCAATACAACAATGGCCCCTACCACTGTTCCTAAAGGAGGATGTGCACCAGAGTGGCTGTCTTTCCAAGGAAAGGTAATGTGTAAATGTATGCATCACAGATTACTCCAATACAGTGCTGGACATTCTAGATGATATGCTTGTGTTTTATGAAAACAAAGCTATACTCCTACTGTCAGGATATGATTTAAACTTTCAGATGTACTTAAATCTGTTCTGGTAAAATATGTTTCCAAAATTAGATCAAGCTTGAGCAGCCAGACGCTGTCTTCTGTTTCTTTGCATGTTATTCTAACACACACTGCATGTTCATCTTGTTTACACAGTGCTACAAAATTGTTGTGGGGCATGAGAATAAGAACTGGCAGGATGCTAGAACTTACTGCATAAACCAGGGAGGAAATCTGGTTTCTATTGCCAGCGAGACAGAGCAAGGTGAGCAACAAGTTGCTAATGTTCAAACACAACTTTTCTTTATGGATGTTTGCAAAGCTAATGTAAATAAACCTAACGTTTTAAGAGTTAATAATAGTTTGCTTCCTTTTTAGCATTCCTAACACAGATGTTGGGATACAGTGAGGATCTTTGGATCGGCATGAATGACGTCAACTGGGAGATGCACTTTGTGTGGACAGATGGCAAAGGAATTTCTTACACCAACTGGGCTAAAGGACACCCAGTATCAGTGCCTGATAGACATTCATTTGCTGATGAGGTTATTTCAACATTTATATCCAAACCTTGTTCTGTCTCTTTTGCACTGTAACTCAATAATGATAGTAGGTGCAGAGAAGATTATCAAAATTA